GAGCACTCCCCTATATCTCTTACATCTTTGGGCCTCTCTAGGAATCTCCATCTCCTAAATAGTAGGAAATATTAATAGAAGGGCCATCAAAGGTCCATATAGTGAAAGCTATGGTTTTTCCAGTAGACATGTACGGATATGAGAGTTGAACTGTTAATCCATAAAGAAGGCTGAGTGCCCAAGAATTGATGCTTTTGAACACTGATGCTGGAGAAGACTCTCGAGAGTCCTTTGGACAGCAAAGAGATCAAACCAGTCAATCCAAAAGGAAATCAACTCTGAATATCCATTGGAAGGACTGATGCTGAAGTTGAAGCTCTTAATACTCTGGCCACCAAATGCGAACAGCCCACTCAGAAAAGACCCTGATGCTGGGAAAGATTGAGGGCAGGAGGAGAAGGGGACAACAGAGGATGAGATGGTTGGATGGCATCACCGACACAGTGGACATGGGTTTGGGTGGACTCCGGGAGTTGCTGATGGACAGAGAGGACTGGCGTGCTGCGGTTCATGGGGTCGCAAAGAGTTGGACATGACTGAGCGACAGAAATGAACTGACCTGATGCTGGGAAAGATTGAAGGCAGGAGGAGATGGGGACGATAGAGGATGAGATGGTTGAAAGGCATCACCGACTCAATTGACATGAGTTTGAGCAAGCTCCAGGAGCTGGTGATGAACAGGGAAGCCTGGCATGTTGCAGTCCATGGGGGCAGAAACAGTAGGACACAACTGAGTGACTAAACTGAGCTGAACACACTCTCTACTTTATGCATTGCTTTAGCCCAGAACTGGGTGCCTGATTCATTATGGACACAAAGTAAATATTTGTTGAAGGGATGAATAAACAGCTCAGAGTAGGAACTACATTTAGGATGAGAAATCATAGATGACTTCTTCCTTTTATTTTTTCCTTTGTTATTTTTTTCTTAACTAAAATTTTCAGATGCCATTAAAAGCTATTTCCTTCTTTCTTTACCCATATCCAAACAGTAGTACCTCTAAATCTAGGGTGCTAAGACCTTCCCATAGCATCATATTGTAGTACAGAAGGAGGGGAGTCAAGTTTTCTTGGCTTGAGCTCCATCTTAAGAGGCTGAACAAGTGAAGAGCTTGCCCCCCTTCCATCCCCTCTTATAACAGTTTCTCTTCTGCAGCCACCAAAAGCAACATGGAGCCAGAGACTGACATGTTCAGAAAGGCTCTCTCCTGTCATTTTGCCCTTCTCCCTCCTAGTACAGGGAACCCTGATGGGATCCACATCCAGAGACTGGGCACTGAGAGTGGGTATAGAAACTAGTCTTCTACCTGAGACCTCCTTTAGTCCTACACACCCCTTAAACCCATTTGAGCTAATAACATTGAATCTCTGCAGAGTCTAGCTCAAAAATAGTAAATAGTTGTGCCTATGCTCTGCCCCACCACCCCAAGCATCCACCCCCACACACACACATACACAGAGAAACATTGCTGATAGGTTGTGGCACTCTTTACACACTGCATTGGGATTCTTCTAATCCTTCTAAACACAACTCCCCAGGCAGTCTTAGCCATCAGTCCAATTTGGCATGCGAGATGAAAGCCATTTTTCATCCCTCATCTGGTCCATGCTGGAGAATACATTTTTTACCATCAGCAAACATTTATTGACTTCCTAATGTGCACAAAGGCCTACAATCTAGATATGAATTCAGGAAAGCCTCAAAGAAAAAGAGATACAAGACAAAGCCAGGCAGCCCATGCTAAAGGCCAAACACATGATGGATTGACTTGCTGGAGGAACCTAGATGTTGCTGGAGACACATGAAAGCTTCAAGAAGTCTACTGTAGAAAATCAGACTGTAAGGAATCATTGAAGGAAAAATGGGATCTAGGTAAGTGAAAAAACATGGAGAGAAAAATTCCAGCTTCAAGAAGAATGTGTTCAAGAGCTCAGGGACAGACAGGAATACACGGGGTGCTTTTGGGAAATGGATAACAAACCCACTTAGCTAGTACCAGGTGACATTCAACTCAAATACCACTTCCTGGGTGAGGTCTTTCTGGATCAGACCGGTGAAAACAGGGATTTGTTTTTCTTCATGGACCTCCAGACCGTGAGTTCTATAGGACAGGGGACTTGCTTATTCACCTCGGAGTTCCCAGTCACTAGAAGAGAGCCTGGCACACAGTAGGTGCTCAGAAAATATTTACTGGATAAATGAATGAACCAAGGGTTCCTGTAGGGGAAGTTATAGGTGCTTAATATGGAGAAATATGTGGGTTTGATTGTTACTGCATTTGAATATCAAACTAAGGACTTTAGCCTATAGGAAAAGTATTCCAAAGTGCTTCTCATCTAATCCCATCAAATGTATTAGGTCAAAAAAGGATTTTATTTTAATATTTTTTGACCTGGATCATTTTAAAAGTTTTTATTGAATTTATTACAGTATTTCTTCTGTTTTATGTTTGACTTTTTGGCCCCAACACATGTGGGATCCCCGACCAGGGATCAAACCTGCATGCCCTGCGTTGAAAGGTGAAGTCTTAACCACTGGACCACCAGAGAAGTCCCCAAAACAAGAATTCTAGGTTGAATGCATTTTTGGATCACTGGGTTAAACAAAGTTGACCATGTTTATTTTCTGCAATTCTTTCTTTCACATCTACCATATCTTTCCAGGTAGTGCTAATGCTAAAGAACCTGCCTGCCAATACAAGTAGACTAGATGTGGATTCAATCGCTGAGTTAGGAAGATCCCCTGGAGGAGGATACGGCGACCCACTCCAGTATTCTTGCCTGGAACATCCCACAGACAGAGGAGCCTGGCAAGCTGCAGTCCATAGGATTGCATAGAGTCGGACAAGACTGAAGCAACATGACACGTACACACCGTATCTTTGTGGGTAATCAAATATTCTCCAAGTATTATCCCATAGCACTCTTATTTTTTCTTCTTTTTTTCATTAAATGCAGCATACTGAATTTAGTATTTACGTTAATATGAAGACAATTTGGTAAATAGAGCTGTGGAAGCTTTAAAGATGCTGGAATGGGAGGTTTCTGCATATGCAATGATATTTTAGGAGGATCAGGGTGGTAGCGTGGATTAGGAGAGGAGAGAGGCTTAAAACAGGGAGCCTCACTTGGGGATGATAGCAGGAATCATCCTCTCAAACGTATGCCACAAATAGGATGTGCCAGACATGAGACAGCAAGGATAAAGCAATAAACAAAACAAGGTCTACCCTGCCTGGACAGGGTGCCCATATGTTCTGGTTTGTCCAGGACAGTCCCAACTTCTGTCTATCGTCTCTATACAATTAGTAAATAGTACCATGTTTATTGAGGGTTTCCCTGGTGACTTCCCTGCAGGTAATGAATCTGCCTGCAATGTGGGAGACCCTGGTTTGATCCCTGGGTAAGGAAGACCCCCTGCAGAAGGAAAGGGCAACCCACTCCAGTATTATTGCCATGTTTATTCTCAAAATCGCCATGGTTTGGATAGTAAACTATTAGCCATTCAATTCGTGGAGCTCACGTTATGGCAGAGACCATGAGGTGAGCCCACGTGGCACCTTTGTATAAATCAGAATCCCTTTCTGGGTGGACACAACTTGAATAAAGACAATTTTGTGGGAAGACGCAGGCTCTTACAGGACACTCAGAAGGCAGAGCTCAGGCTGGATGTTTGTCTCCTCTGACTTACTGCATGCAGGGGGTTTTGTAAGCTAGGTGTGGATTCAAGAATGATTTTTTTTTTAAAAAGCACAAGGTAAAGCCTAGGCCAGCCCTCTTGGGCAGCAAGCCCCCTGCCCAACCACCAGTTGGTATCCTGGAGATAATCAGTAAACAAATAATATATAAGTAAATGCAATGTTAAGTATTGGAAAGTCCTGTGAAGAAAACACGAAGCCAGGGGATCAAGAGTGAAGGGCAGCCCTAGCGCGTACTCCAGCGGGCAGCGCTGGTGTCGTAGCCTGTGGACAGGGCGCCCCCTGGGGTTGAGCAACTTAGCCACCCAGACATGAGGTGCTCTGTCAGAAAGGACGGTCAGGAAGTCCTCTCTGTGGAGGCGGTGGGTCATTTGTCACTGACCATAAAGGGAGAGGGATAGACAGGAGAGAAATGTCACAGTGGTGTGGAGTCCATGTGACATGGTGGCCAGCCTTGGGAAGGACTTTGAGGAATGAGTGTTAAAGATGACTTCAGGCTTCCACGCCTGAGGAACTAGGAAAACGCTGGCACCGCTCAAATCTGCCTGGTTTCCTGAGGCTGCCACGCGTGGGTGATGCAGGGAACACCCCATGGAAAGAGGCGCAGTCCCTTCTCTTGGGGAGTTGACTGCCATCTTCAGAACTTCCCAGCCTGTCTGGTGGAACACTAGCTGGGTATGCTAATAGGTGTTACTAGAAAAAGTTGCTCAAGTTTGAGAAAGTCTGGGTTAAGCAAAATTAAAGAGTTTTCTTTACTAGATGGATTCTCAGAGATTTTAATATACCCACGCATGCTTCATGAATCCGAAGCAGGGAATATAGACGGTAACCTGTCCTGAGTTGGCTGCCCGGAGATATTTTTCTTCACAAGGTGTTTCAGGATACCAGTGTTCCCCTGGGAGGATGGGGGCAGGGGCAGGAACTGTGCTGTATACAAATGCCAGATGGGCCAGAATAGAAGGCAGAGTCAGGTTAGGGTTCAGGAGGAGTGGGCAGACAGAGCTGCCAGAGATAAGGGATCCCGCCTAGGAGGACAGAGATCTCACATCTGTTGGGGCCCGCGGTTGCCATGGCGCGGTGACAACCTCTGAGTCAGCCCCCCTCAGGGCCAAGATTAGCCTCTGACTGACTGGCTAAAAGCAGTTGTGTAACCTCCTTGGGCCTCCACTTACCCTTCTATAAAATGGGGATAAAGATATCGCCTCCCTCTCCTGGGTGGCACGAGGCACTGGTAATTACTATTTGGCCAGGTGCTGAGGTGCCGATGAGCTCTGTCTGACACATTTCTTCGTGCCTCCTCCAGACGCCGTGCCTCACCTCCCCAGACACAGCCCTGCTGCTCGCTCAGACCTCAGCCACATCGGGGAAGGCAGCAGGTGTCTCTCTTCTTCGTCGCTCCCATCAAAACAGGAGACTCGCCTGACCTCCGGCTCCCACCTGGGCATTGTGGAGGTGGGAGGGCCACCTGCCGGCTGCCATTCTGGGGCCCTGCTGCACGTGGGAGGCTGTTCGGGGCTGGGGCACCCCGAGGGGGTTTCGCCAGCCTGGAGGCAGCCATGCAGTATCCTTGTCGCTGAGGAGCCCAGCCAGCTGGGGCCCTCACGGGGCCAAACAATGACCACGTCAGAGGACCAGAGCCCGGCCCAGCCTGGAGGGACGAACGAGCAGAGGTGGGTGCTGCGTGTTTAAGGGTGCAGGGAGAGGAAGGGGCACCTGATGGGAGAGGAGACAGCCTGTGGGCAGGGCTAGCCTTGCTCCAATCCTTCCACCAAGGGTGGGGAAAGGGGGTGCTGAGAAAACTCAGAGGTTCCTATATATCCACTGAGCCTGCAAACCAGACTCTATCACCATGCCTCGGGGGTAGGACAAGCATCCTCATGAAGCATGGTGGCCTTTTGTAGTTACTTTTCGCCCTTTAGTCTAAGATGCGCGATTCATTTTTACCCAATTTCATACAGATAGGAAATACTGGGGAGTCAGAAAAGCAGCACGTGGCACCCCTAAGTCGAGGCTGTAGTCACTTGGAACAGCTCTGCAGGTGACTAAAATAATGCCTGGACCTGAGTAGAAGGATGGAAAAGGAGTGGTTGTTGGATCTCCCTGGGTAATTTTGAAATGCCAGTGTGCATCTGCAGAATGGGATCATAATAATATTAAGTTCCTTCAGTAGGCTGGTATCAGGACTCATTCCTGTGTGCTGGGCATTCTCCTGTGATCCAGTAGTTCATTTTGATGCGCATCTTGCTTATTCGTACCGATATGCCTTCTGCTCAGCAGAAAAGCATCCCATTGGATAGTAGGCTCTTACTTTCATCCTCAGCTAAATTCAGCTGCTCTAAAATGTGTGAAAGAGATCTGAGACCCAAGCAGATGGCAGTCCCCGTCTCCAAGCCCATGGCATCGAATGCCAGTTGAAAATCAAGATCTCTTAATTCTTGGAAATGGAGGGGAGGGGCACACGGGGTCTAGTCCCAGGGGAAGGACTAAATTAGGGAATGACATCAGGGGCCTGTCTAACTCAATTTCTAGCCCCCACCTTCTTTAAAAGCCATCAGTATCTTTAGCCCTAGCATGTTACCAAATGACTTGTCAATGTCAGAGGAGCCATGCAAAGAATATTCAGCACGTCATTAACCTCATTCCAACATGTAATTAGCCTAAAAGGCCTCTTCGCTGCCTCCATTCAGCGTTACATCATAAAGAATCAGATATTTTCAGGACATCATGAAGACTTTAAAGAGTTAATTATGGCTCAGTGGAGCCCATCCCCGACAGCCTAAGATCCAGGAATTAAACTGTTTATTTTCAAGTGTCAGTCCTCCAGACAGCATTCACAGTCACTTCCTCCAAGGAACCTGAGACTGACATTGGTTTGGAAGTAGAGCCACCAGAGTATGCAGTGGTGAGTTGGAGGAGGTAATTGAATCCAGGCCTTGCTCCTACTCTGGGCCATGTGTTTTCAGAGATATCATCTGTACAGTCTCAGAGAGAAAAGAGAACCAAGGTGAGCTGGAATTCTACTTACCCTCCTAGTTCCATGGGGCAAATCCAGCTAAAGCCATTTGTAATCTCTGAGCTGGAGAGACCAACAGTGTGTCCAGAGTTCAAAGGGAGTTCAGTCCTAATCTGGATGTTACCATCTGAGCCAATCTAACCATGCAGGCTCTGAGGACATTATTATCAGTCAAGTGTAATTATAGATAAAATAGTTTTATTAATCAGCTTCCTAAGGAGACTGTGTTTATCTGATGGCTGTGCATGGCGTGGGAGGATCTGTGCTGTGTGTGGTGGGTCGCTGGGGAGGACAGGGTGTCTAGGGGAGAGCATGGAAGATATAAGAGGGGGTGTGGTTGGGAGTTGTGTCTAAGACTGTACATGACAGATGGGAGTACAAGCGGCAGAATTTTGCCTGTTCTCCCTTCTATGTTGAATCTGTCATAACTCTTTTCCACCCAAAAAATAGACCTTTCTATATTTCTATTTATCTAAGGTCTCTGGAGCTCCTGATAGCTATCCAATAGCTATCAGGTGTCCCTGATAGCTCAGTTTGTAAAGAATCTGCCTGCAATGCAGGAGACCCCAGCTCGATTCCTGAATCAGGAAGATTCTCTGGAGAAGGGACAGGCTACCCACTCCAGGATTCTTGGGCTTCCCTTGTGGCTCAGTTGGTAAAGAATCCACCTGCAATGCAGGAGACCTGGGTTTGATCCCTAGGCTGGGAAGATCTCCTGGAGAAGGGAAGGGCTACCCACTCCAGTATTCTTACTTGAAGAATTCCATGGACTGTGTAGTCCATGGGGTCGCAAAGAGTTGGACACGATTGAGCGACTTTCACTTTCATGGAGCTCCTAATTGCCAATTCTACCTGCAAGTGCCCTCTTCAGCCACTATCTGCCACATTTTCAAATCTTACCTATCCAGACCTATCTTGGCTTGTCTTCAACGTCTACCACCCTAAACTAGTTTGTAAGTTGCAAGGGTTCCTGAAAGAGTACAGCTCCTTCTGAATACTGTGTGGCCTGCCTGGAGTCAACTCTACTCACCTCTGGTCAGGATAAATGAACTCCTCAAGGCCCAATACTAAATGGGTCCCCCAGAAAGTCTCCAAATCTGATTTAAACTCGATTAAACATCAGTGGTTTCCTAAAGGAAATCAACCCTGCATATTCATTGGAAGGACTGTTGCTGAAACTGAAGGTCCAATACTTTGGCCACCTGATGGAAGAGCCAATTCATTGGAAAAGACACTGAAGCTGGGAAAGATTGAGGGCAAAAGGAGAAGGGGGCAGTAGAGGATGAGATGGTTAGATAGCATCATTGACTCAATGGACGTGAATTTGAGCAAACTCTGGGAGATAGTGAAGGGCAGAGGAGCCTGGCATGCTGCAGTCCATGGGGTTGCAAAGAGATGGATATGACTTAGCAACTAAACAACAATAAAAAACATCAGTGGTCAGATGGGTGTAAGGTAACATTTCAAGGCTAGGTTCCCCGCTCACAGCAAGGGCTGAGCATCTATCCCCCTGTGGGCCAGGCCCAGAGCCAGCCTGGTCATTTCCACCCTTCCCCCCACAGCCTTAAATGCTTGGATGGCTTCTTTTAGCACAGCCATGGTCTACTGGTCAATTGTGCAACTCACCGCTTGCTTTGGCTGGAACACTTGACCCTAGTTGGTTATTTCCTCCCTCAGATGGCCTTGTGCAAAATCTGCCATCTGCCTTAATGCCGCCTGAACTTTACTCAAAGTGACAGCTGCAGCCTGGTGTGGATACAAACCCCAAATCAAAGAGACCTTGCGCCTGTTTCCCTGCCATAAAGGCAGGTGGCATCCATTCTTCCCTAGGTACTGCAGAAGGTGAACTTGCCAGAGCCCACCCACAGAGCTTGTGCAGAAAGATGGAGAGTGGGCCATGGCCAGGTGGCAGAACGGTTGGCCACTCTATAAAGTGAGTTGTTGGGATTCTTGGAGCTTCTCTGTCCCCAGCAGGGCACATAGGAGGTCAGGACAAAAAAGTGTGGGCCAGGGAATGAACATCTTATAAAAGTATAAGATGTATAAAATGGTGTAAGTATAAAAGTATATCTTATAACACCTTATAAAAGTATGGCTCTATTTAAGATAATTAATAACTGTTGGCCAGATATGCTGGTCTTCTCCTAACTCCCAAGGTTAGTACACTTTTGATAGCCACCAGGTAAGAGACTGAAAATGAACAAATGGATGGATGAATATCAACTAACTAACAGGTGTGTGCCAGGTGCACACACCTGTATTATTTCAATTAATCTAGTGAATAGCTAACATTATTCTCATTTTGCTGATTAGGAAATTGAGGGGTGGATAAGTTTAATAACAACAGCAGCAGCAGCAAAAATAATAATATAGTAAGAAGTATAACCATCATTTATTGAGTATTTAATAAATACCAGGTATTGAGCTAAGTACTTCTTGTTTTATATTATTGCATTTAATCCTTACCAAAACTCTATGAAGTAACAATTTATTTATCCAGGTTTTTAGATGAAGAAACTGTGTCTCAGGGAGACAATTATCACTGGCTACGTGTGATAGCACCAACCTTTGAACCTACATCTATCAGATTCAAAACCTAGTGCCCTTTCTTGTTCTTGTTTTTCCTTTGCTATCTGGTTTTTGCTTTTAGCAACACCACAGTTGTCTGTTTAGTTACTATATCATTTAAAAAACTGTTCTGTCAATTTGCACAGCAAAGGAAACCATAAACAAAATGAAAAGACAACCCACAGATTGGGAGAAAATATTTGCAAATGATGCAGCCAACAAGGGATTAGTCTCCAAAATATGCAAACAACTCATGCAGCTCAATACCAAAAAAACAAACAACCCTATCAAATAATGGGAAGAAGACCCAAATAGACATTTCTCCAAAGAAGACATACAGATGGCCAAGAGGCACATGAAAAGATTCTCAACATCACTAATTATTAGAGAAAAGTAAATCAAAACTACAGTGAGATCACCTCACACCAGTCAGAATATGTGTTCTTAGTCACTCAGTCGTGTCCGACTCTTTGTGACCCCATGGACTATAGCCTGCCTGTCTCCTCTGTCCATGGGGATTCTCCAGGCAAAAATAATAGAGTGGGTTGCCATGCCCTCCTACAGGGGATCTTCCCAACCCAGGGACTGAACCCAGGTTTCCCTCATTGCAGGCAAATTCTTTACCATCTGAGCTACCAGGGAAGCCCATGAATACTTAAGTGGGTAGCCTATCCCTTCTCCAGAGGATCTTCCCAACCCAGGAATCAAACTGAGGTCTCAAGCATTGCAGGCAGGTTCTTTGCCAGCTGAGCTACCAGGGAAGCTCTCATTCAGAATAGCTATCATCAAAAAGTCCACAAACAATAAATGCTGGAGAGGGTGTGGAGAAAAGAGAACACTCCTACACTCTTGGTGGGAATGGAAATGGTACAGTCACCATGGAGAGCAGTATGGAAGTTCCTTTAAAAGCCAAAAATATGATCCAGCAATTCCACACCTGGACATATCTAGAGAAAAACATAATTTGAAAAGATACATGCACCTCAATGTTTATTGCAGCACTATTTACAATAGCCAAGACATGGAAACAATCTAAATGTCCATCAACTGAGGAATGGATAAAGAAGATGTGATACATGTATAATGCAA